GTGATTATCTTGTTTAAGAACATAACAGTGTTGTGACAAATGTCCTTCTAGATCTAAAACAGTTCACTCTAAAGTCACGGAATGTGAAAAGTGATGCTTTAGTTTTAACTAATGTCTGTTTCAGTTTTGTGCTTCATTGTCCAGATGAGGAATTTTGCTTCAGTTCAGTGAACCCCAGAAAGTGTTGAAGCTCTGTGATCTGTCAACTGCAACATATTATGACCCAGTGCTTGTTTTTTGGGAAACAGAGCTTGATCCCTCGCTCTGATGAAATAAGACCAGAAAACATTTGTCGGAAATAAACATCACAGACAGAAAATTCAAAGCAGGATGTGTGTTTTTATTTTTTTTTTAATACACATGTGCATGTTTGAAACTGTGACATTTGTAAATGTATTGCCATGCCAGATATTGGTCTCCTTCAACAACCCTCCATGTCACTGTGAAATACATTTAGGCGTGTTCGGTTAGTCATTCATATGTATAAACAGGTTTCATCTCCACATAACAAACATCAGGGTTATAGGATTTCTGCAGTTTCAGAAAAATGTGAGCTTTATCTGAGTTACTAACAAATGCAAACGATTTATAACTGAGTTACACGTCCTCATAATTTTGTCTTGCTCATGTTTAATACGAGTTCATCATGTCATTGGTACAACATTTATTTTGGAACTATTTTTGAACAGGACACCTTAGAAGGATGTTCACACAGCAAACATAAAAGCGTCTCAGTGTTTCCTTCATATGTGACAAATTTGCAACCACAGATATGTTTAGAAAGGAAAGGAAACACGTCTGCCTTTTTGTTTAAATGTCAATATAAGGAAATACACCAATCAGTCATGCTGTTAAAACCACTGAAAGGTGAATTATACTGAGCAGCTCGTGGGCTGCAGGGTGGCGCAGTTGGTTAGCACTGTTGCCTCCCACAAGAAGGTCGCTGGTTCGCGTCCCAGTGGGGGCACCGGAATCTTTCTGCGTGGAGTTTGCATGTTCTCCACGGGTTCTCCGGCTTCCTCCCACACAGTCCAAAAATTGTCCGTAGGTGTGAATGTGAGTGTGCTTGGTTGTCTGTCTCTAAGTGTAGCCCTGTGATAGACTGGTGACCTGCCCAGGGTGTCCCCTGCCTTCACCCTGAGTCATCTGGGATAGACTCCAGCCCCCCACGACCCTAGTGAGGATTACGCGGTGTATAGATAATGGATGGACGGATGATCAGCTCGTTACAATGCAACATTCTGTTGGGAAACCTCTGGTCCTGGCATTTGTGTGGATGCTACTTTGACAATGGTGTGGCTGACTGGTGTGTTCATAGGTCACAAAGATGTTCATCGTGAATGCACCAGTACAACGTTTGGTGACAGCACACAGGTTTTGTTTTCCTCTCAAACATCTGATCTTGCTCGGTAGACGGTAGCATCCACCTGTAGTGACCACAGTATTATTACCACAGCACTTGATCATGGTTGGGGAAAGAGCACCAATACAAACAAAGTACACAATGGGCTGACACCACATTCAGTTAAAACCAATATTTTCTGGACTAAAGTGCTTTTGTGCCTAAATCTAAGCAGGAGAATTACGATGCCAACTCCACCGTCACAGTTTTGATCTTTGTACACCCTTACCTATAGTGACACTGTAAATGTGCTGCTTCATTCATTTGAAAAAACATGTTGCTGATTATGTTTGAGGTTTCCAACGTCATTGGAAAAATGAATTTATGAATTCAGAAATGTTTCTAGGAAAGAGCCAGATTTGAATTTCTCCACTTCTGAAGGGTGTGAAGTCCAAAATCAGATTTCATATTTTACCATTTCAGTGCACATTTCAATTATGCGCTGAAACTATTACAGAAAGTCAAATTTGCCAGCCAGTTTTGAAGATAAGGAATGTTTTTAATGAATCACATCAGCCTCTCAGAAATCAGC